AGGAGGATCGTTGCAAGTTCGAGACTAGTCTGGGCTACAAAGTGAGCTCCAGGCCAGCATAAATTGCATAGGAAGACCCTGCCTTAAAAAAAAAAAAAAAAAGATAAATAAAAACAAAAGTCATGGTGCTACTCAGTGCTAACTTTGGGGTCTCCAGTTTTAGGGTAGTCAAAGGGGGACAGAGTAACAGGCAAGTGACTATGATGGCTTCTACCACACGGGCCTCCTAACTTGCATTTCAACATCCCCTCTGCATGTTCTACGGAGTAATGTCCTAACCTCTGGGGAACCACCACCCAGCTTGAGAGACTTGTCCGTACTTTTCTTATCTGTAAAATGGTAATGTTAATACCATGGACTTGTCATAAGAAACTCTCAAATTTAATATAATAGAGTAATAAAATACTACTTTTATTTATTTTTGGCGGAACCAGGGATTGAATTCAGGTCCTTGTGCTTGCCAGGCAAGTGCTTATTCCACTGAGCGATCTCCCTGGCCCCACTAAAATACTTATGATAGTTCCTAGATAACTTGTGTGTTTAAGAAAGGGTTTTGAATTGTACCTATGTTTGGCAAATGCGACCAGTATAGCGTTACCTATTTTTCACCCCGGGGACAGAAGCCACCCGCCCGCTGGGCAGCTCATGCAGCCTCTGTCTCTGCTGAGCCCCGGGTTGGGCTGCCACAGTTCTTGCAGTTGGATCCCTACAGCCTTCTGCACAGAGTGGACTGAAAAATTTTTCCCAGCTTTTTTCAGATGTAAACCGGAAAGGCTGGGTGCATACCTCCCAGCCACAAGGGGGAGCTAGTCCTGATTGTCCCGTGGCTTCTTTTATGGCTGTTGGCCAAGAGCTTTCTCCCAACAGCCTCAGTTTCTCCAGCTGTCAACTATAGGTTTGGCGTAGCATATGGGTTCAGTTGGCTCTATAAGGCTGGAAAAAAGGTACTCTGTGTCCTGTGATGCTGGCAGCCAAAGGGCAGACGTCCTCGCCTGTACTCCCTGGTTGGGGAGAATATTTTTACCCTTTTTTGGTGCCAGGAAGGGACTCAGGGTTTCACGCATGCATAAGCACTCACTCTCCCACTCATCCCTGGCGCTTTTTATTATTTCTGATCTGTGGAGATGGGAATATTTGAACTCTGAGTTAGAAGCAGAAGGGGAGACTTCGGATAGGAGCTGGAGAACTGAACCACTCCTTTTTCTTTTTACTGCACAAATCCAAGGCCTCACATCTGCCAGTCAAACATTCTAGTCCTAAACTACATTTCCAGCCCCTTTTATTTGTTTAGCTAATGTATTTGGTACAAGGTCTCACTACGCAGCTCGGACTCAGAGATCCTCCTGTTTGCAGTCTCCCCAGCAGTGGCATTACAGGCTTGGGACACCACGCCCAGCCCCTTTGATTTTTGAGGTGGGGGGTTTTGCTAAGTTGTCTAAACTGGTCATGAACTTGAGATCCTCCTGCCTCCAGCCTCCTGAACAGATGGCACTGTGGGCATGCCCCATCACTGCCTGCTTCGAAAGCCCTTTTCAGAGGTAACCCTCCCAGGTGCTTTTGTTCTAGGTCAGCCAGTCTCCTCTCCTGGCCTCCAACCTTGCCCCTCCAGACCTCAGGCCTTGCCAACCTCCCCCAAGCTGGAGGCTTTCAGAACCAAGGACTCTTCGTTATTTCATTCGCGGAGCAGGCTCTCCGCATGCTCATCTACTAGAGGACCAGGGCAAACAGGTCCACGCACAGGCACGCAGCACAACTGCAGATTGTGGTGATCAGCGCTAGGAGGGAACAATATTGGGGTGGGCCCAGATCCTAATACAGGGCTTCTTGGGGAGAAGGAAGGTCTCTCAGTGGAGTTGATAACCCAGCTGAGACACAGGCTAGTGGAAGGAGTAAGTGCAAAAGCCACCAGAGCCAGGCACATGACACAGGTCTATAATCCCAGCACTGTTTGAAGCTGAGCTCAGAAAACCCTTTGGGAGGCTGATACAGGAGCAAAGTTTGAGGGCAGCCTGGGCACTTTAGCAACATAACAACACCTTGTTGTTGTTTTTTTTTAATTTTTATTTGTGCGTGCGTGCGTGCGTGGCCAGCTCAGCCCACCAGGGGGCGGGGCTGGCTGGCATGTGGTGCTGGGGGATTGAACCGCGGTCCCTGTGCTTTGCTAAGCTTGTTCTAAGTAGATGCTTTAGACCACTGAGCCATCTCACCAGCCCAACACCCTGTTTCAAAAAAAAAAAAAGAAAGAAAGAAAAGGGCAAGGGGGCCAAGGAGATAGCTTAGTAGAATAAACACTTGCCTGGCAAGTGCAAGGACCTGAGTTCAATCTCCAGTTCTGAAGAAAAAAAAAGAGAGAGAGAGAGAAAGAAAAAAGGGTGGGGATTTAGCTCAGTGAAAGCCTTGGGTTCGATTGTGGTACCACTAAGAGAGAAAAATAAAAGCTGGGATGGAGGTCAGTCAGAAAACATCTGTGATTTCAAAAAACAAAACAAAACAAAAAAACCCCAAAAATATTCATCGTTAGACAACTGGAGTTTTTGCTGGTTTTATAACCTATTAAGGGGCTGGAGAGATGGCTCAGTGGTCTAAAGCACCTACTTAGAACAAGCTTAGCAAAGCACAGGGACCGCGGTTCAATCCCCCAGCACCACATGCCAGCCAGCCCCGCCCCCTGGTGGGCTGAGCTGGCCACACACACACACACACACACACACTAAATGTAAAAATAAATAAATAAATAAAATAAATATATAACCTATTAAAATGGATAGGCTGTTGAACATTTCACATTCAAAAGTTTTGTAGGGTGGTGGGTTATGGGGAATCCTCAATGTTTATTTTAAAATAAATAAAATAAATTCTTGACTTTAAAAAAAAGAAAGAAAACATCTGTGGGTTTGATACTTCGACCCCAGTATCAATAATTTTTAAAAAGCAAAAAAAAAAAAAAAAAAGCCACCAGAGAGCTGTGCACGGTGGTGCATGCCTAATCTCAGATGGAGTCTGAGGCTGGAGGATCACAAATTCGAGTCCCACCTGGACAATTTAGCCACTCAGTGAGACTCTGAAACTATACCTTTTAAAAGGTTTTGGTAGTACCAGGGATTGAACTCAGGCGCTGTGCTTGCCAGGCAAGCACTAATTCCACTAAGCTATCTTTCTGGCCCTAGTGAGACTCTGATAACAAATTTAAAAAGGGCTGGGGATGCAGCACAGTTGAAGGCCTTTGGTTCAGCTCATTACTGCAAAAGCAAAACAGACTGGGGTTGGGGAGATGGCTCAGTAGAATAAGCACTTGCCTGGCAAACACAAGGGCCTGAGTTCAATCCCTACTTCTGCCAAAAACAAACAAACAAAAAAACAAGTCTAGTTTGGTGAGGTTTAACTCCACTCCCACAATCTTCTGGAGGAGCCAGAGGTGGTGGCTCATGCCTGTAACCCCACCATGAGGGAGGCTGAGGCAGGAGCATCGCTGTGAGTTCTAGACTAGCCTGGGCTACATAATGAGTGGTCTGAATTACAATGTGAGACCCTGTCTCAAACACTTAAACACACACACACGGACTAAAACTGGAAGGTAACCCCAGAAACTTGGGGGGAGGGGCGTCCAGCGTCGGCACTGTGTGTGGGCACAGGGGCTCCCTCTACTGGTGACGAGTTAAACACACATCTCGGACCCCGAATGCTACTTAGTTTGTGCCCTATGAACTAATTCTGTCACTTGTTTCTGTAACACCTATTTCTCCATGCGAATGTGCGCCAAGTGATTCTGGATGTTGGGGGTAGAGCTGTGAAACCAACAGTGTCATCTGCTGCCCTGGAGTTGACATCCTACAGGACCTGTGATGAGGACTCAAGCAAAACTGACCTTTCAACAATGGTCCAACAGGGGCTGGGGATACAGCTCAGCAGCACTGCACCTGTCTGGTAAGCGCAAGGTCCTGAGTTCAATCCCTGGTATCAAAAACAAAACAAAACTAAAAATTAGAAAAAATGGTCCACCTGCCAAAGATACCTGCCGCAGGGCAAGGTTTGGATTTCAGCTCCAATGTGACCTCCTCTGAAGTGTGAACGAATTTGTTCACTGTCTGCCAAAATAAAGATTCCATGAAGGCTCCCATTTTCACGAAATCCCTCAGCTTTTCTAACCAGGGGTGGTGGCGCAACCCTGTGACCCCAGCAGTCTGGGAGGCTGAGGCAGGAGTATCTCAAGTTCTTGTTTTGTTGCTTTTCGGATACTAAAGATGAACAGCTAGAATTACAGCTACATTCTCAGAAAACATTTGCTAAACGGATTTGAAGATTCAAGGGCTCGAAAACTATTTCTTGGCGGGCGTGGTGGTGCCCTCCTGCAATCTCAGCACTCGGGAGGCTGAGACAGGACCCTTACTCCGAGTTCGTGACCAGCCTGGGGTCCACAGTGAGTTCAAGACCAGCCTGGACTACATGGAGAGACCCGGTCTCCAAAAAGTGGGGAAAGAACGGCAGTGGCCTTACTGCCTCCCTTGCTCTGCTTTAGTGCTCCACACCGACAGCTCCCGAGCCGCTCAGCCCGCCGCAGCTCCGGGGCACCGCGCGCCCTTGCTCGGCCCGCCCGCCCTCGCTCCACAGACCCTGACTGAACTCTCGACCTGCGCTCGCGCTCTTCCAGCAGATATTGCGCCGCCTTGCTCCAAGGAGAAAGCGGGCTCCAGGCGGCGCGCAGAGGTGACCTCAGGCGCCCGACCTGTGAGCTCAAGGCTGGAGCAAGGCTGCCAGCAGCCACCGGGGTGGGCGGCGCCAGGGACAGAGGCGTCGAGAGGCGGACGTCGCAAGCCGCTTCCAGGAAGGGGCGCGAGCGCGGAAGGCGGTACGCCAGGGCCTGGGGGCGGAGCAGCCGCCCGCGCTGATCACGTGATTATACCCACACCCGCCCGTAGGAATGGGCGGGGCAATGCAAATTATCCCGGGGCGACGACCAATCAGGGCGTGCGCCGCTGGTCCGGGCCGGGCCCGGCAGATTGCTGGCTTGTAGGCTCGCATCGCGGCTGTACTAGGTCTCCGGCGAGCTGTGCAGCAAACCCGGCTGCAGCCACTTGCTCGACCTCCTCGTCCCGTGCGGCCGGCTGGGTGAGGCCGGACCCGCGGCGGGGGGCAGGCGGAGGTGCCGCGGCCGCCGCTGCTGCCGCGTGCTCCATGCATCCGGAGCCCGCCCCGCCCCCGAGCAGCAGCAGCAGCCCGGCGCTTCCCCTCGGCGGTGGCAGCGGGAGCCGCCAGAGCCGTCGCCACAGCGGGGACGGGGAGCTCCCGGGGTCCCCGCCGCCGCCCGCCGTCAGCTACCCGGACTGGGTCGGTCAGAGCTACACCGAGGTGATGAGTCTCAACGAGCACTCGATGCAGGCGCTGTCCTGGCGCAAGCTCTACTTGAGCCGCGCTAAACTCAAAGCCTCCAGCCGGACCTCGGCGCTGCTCTCCGGCTTCGCCATGGTGAGCTCGGGCCGCCTTGCCCTGCCCCGGCCGCCCCGCTCCGCCCTCAGCCCCTTCGCGCCCAGGAAGAGTAGACTTGGGGTCCAGAGCGAGGCCGCGACAGGGGCACCCGACGCGGGCAGTGACTGGCTGTGCAGGTTCCCAGACTTAGGGGACTCAGGTGCCTCTAGATGGGCAAGCTCGCGGCAGCAAAAGTGGAAGGGACGCCGGAAGGTTGCGTCCCTAAAGTTAGAACTAAGTTAGAACGGAGTTCTGCCTGCGTGCAGGGCAGGGGAGGGGAGGAGAGGGATCGTGGGGTTCGACCCACTTCGGGACAGGTGTTAGGAAGTGTGACACAAGGAGAGTTGTGTGTTCACTGACACTTAAAGCTAGAAGGTGTTTATTTATTGGCTTCGCTGTCAATCCGCTAGGAGGGGGGATTTCCTGGCGCTCAGCTGCACATTTTCTGAGAGCCTCAAGCCTAGGGTTTGACAACCACTCCCTAGCTCAGTTCTTCTGCAGAAACTCGCCACTGAGTCACTGGGTGTGGGGGAGGAGGGCGGGACAGGTTCCCCTTAACCTGCTCTTGCTTGATGAGGGGGTGGGCACAGTCCCCACCCTCTGTCCGTGAGAAGCCTCTGAGAGCAGGGGATGATGAGGCTGCAAGCTGGCTGAAGTAGAACTCTGGGGCACAGCAGGACTTTATTATCTTCACTTTTGGTGACCTCAGCCTGTGCAAATGGGGGTCCCCCCCAACGCTCCTGCTTCCCCAGTGAGTGAGCCCAGCCCTTGGCCCTGAGGAAAGGAGTGGCCGCACCCTGGTGCGTTCTTGGAAGAGAGTGTGTCTGGGTCTCTCACTGTGCTCCGCAAACAAGTGGGCCACTGTGAGAGAAAGCGGGAGCTGCCAAATCGGAAAGCAGAGCCTGTGTGACCTCAGGGCGGTCACTCTCTCTGGAACTTGGTTTCCGAAATGATACATGCAGACGCCTTTTCAAAAGTGTCTCTGACTTTAAGAATGAAATTGAAGGCACCCTTAAGAGATGCGGGGGGATCAGAGAGGAAGAGAAAGTGAAGAGATGGCTCCCTAGTTTTCAGTTTAGGCGAACAGGAGGAATTGTTAGTGATCAGTCCCTGCTTATCCCTACAGAATCTCCAAGAATAGCTGACATTTACCAAACACTCGCTGGGCCCCAGGCGCAGAGTAGATTCCTTACTCCTGAACACCGCTGCTCTGTCGAGAGACTTTCCAAAGGCCTTGAGCTCATCTGGCAGGGCAGGATTTGAACCCAGATCTGCTAGTGTGCAAAACTTGGCTTAGGTACATGTGGCATTTGTGATGTACAGAGCTTTGATGAGTGTCTGGTCAGGGACAAGGTGAGCCTAGGGAAGGAGAGATAGAATAAAAAAGTCTCTTTGAAGCCAAAAATGTTCTGCACCGTGTGGGGAGGGAGCCATCAGTTTTGGTCCCCCCTTCCAGTGCTCTGGGTTTATGATGGTAGGGCACAAGCCAGACTTGCTTGGTGGCACACACATGCCTGTGATCCTAGCACTCTTGGAGGCCGAGGCTGGAGGATCCTAAGTTCAAACCCAACCTAAGGCAACACAGTGAGACACCAAAAAAGGGAGGGAATGGGTGGGAGGGAGGGAGGTAGAGAGTGGGGAGGTTTGAGGATGCATCTCAGTGCAAAGGTGGGGTTCAGTCCTGGGTGCTGCAAAACAAATGGTGGGGCACTAGTTCCCTTTCTTGATCATAATCTTGGTCATAATTGTTGCTGCCCCATCTCACTCCAGGAGAGGTGAGGATCACATGGTGACACGTTCGGTCTCCTCAGCTTCTCTTCCTTCTGAGAGTACTGGCTTCCCTACTCTTTTTTTTGGTGGAACCGGGGATTGAACTCAGACCCTTGCGCTTGCCAGGGAAGCGCTTATTCCACGGAGCCATCTCCCCGGCTCCACTTACCTACTCGTGCTAAAAGCATGGCAGGGAAGTGGAGAGGCTCAGTAGCCTGGGCACTGGGATGGGCTTTACTCTCCCTCCCCTCCCCTCCGCCCCCCTCCGCCCCCCTCCGCCCCCCTCCGCTCTCCTCCCCACACA